TCCTTCTTCCTGTTACTACAGTTGATCTGATCAAGGAGTTTGGGATCTTTTTTTCTTTTAAAAGGTGTCTGAGCACATGGGGCTGGCATGTACAGATTCTATTGGTAAAACTGACTATTTACAGTGAAACTGAAGGCTGTCATTTGGAGGAGGGCAGGGAGCTGTTCCTGTGGGCAGCAGAGGAGAGGACTCGCAATCATGGGTTTAAATTACGGGTGGGGAGGTGCCGGCTGGATAGTAGGAAAAACTTTTTTATAGTATGAGTAGTTCAGCAGTGGAATGGGCTGCCTGGGGGGGGGGGTGAGCTCCCCCTCACTGGGCGAACACTGGTCAGAGGTGCTCCAGGCTGATCCTGCGCTGAGCAGGGGGTGGGACCAGGTGGCCTGCAGGGCTCCTTCCAGCGCTGTGATTCTATGACAACATCTGCTCTGGCGAGAGGAAGGTGACAGTGGGAGTGATGGTGAGGCTGGCTGGAAGGATACCTGAGAAGCAGATTCCCGTCTAATCAGAGGGCAGCATGAAACTCCCACACTAGCTGGAGGTTTCCTTTAAAACAATCTCCTCCAACTAGTTAATAGTGGTAACACATAGTACTCAAAGTTCATCAACACTCTAGAGTAATAATAAAAACACAGTAAAATGTATACAAGATTATGGCCTCATGATGTAAGGATCCACTGTAATGTGGTTGATACTGAAATGTTTGTTCCATACAGTACTCACTGGATGGGCAGGGACTATTCTTAAACACCAGAGAATGCTACTTACATGTCTGATTGACTGAATTTAGGAACAGAAGATAATGATACTGTCCATCAGGCTCAAAACAGTGAGATAGGACAGGAGACCAGAGGTATGAATGTAGCAGAAGACTCAAGCAGTGGGTGAATGAGTTTTTATTTCCTTCTAGTTTGACACAAATGGCGATGGACAGATCAGTGTAGCTGAGCTACGGGAAGCCATGCGCAAACTCTTGGGGCAGCAACTGAATTACCGAGAGGTAGATGAGATCCTCAAGGATGTTGATCTGAATGGAGATGGTCTTGTGGACTTTGAAGGTAACAGCAAATACTTAAGTCCTTCCTTGGTGCTCAGTTTTTGCCTTTCATATCTAGAAGGGGATGTGAGGACTGACGCTGGGAAAATGCTTGGGATCTACTTGGGATCCCAAACAGGGCAAACAGCAGCTTCTTGGACCCATTTCAGGTCAGGAAAATGGTACAGAGGGAAAAGCTTAACCATACCTCACCGCTACAATCCTGCTCTGAATTAGGCCTCTGCACACCTGTCAATTGAGAGTTAAAAACTAATGGGAACTCTAGACACAGAATTCCCAGCTCACATCTGGTTTGGCCCTGTGACCCACAGATATCCTTTTTATTACCATTTTTGGGAATAAGACAGGAATCAAATCATGAAAGTGAAGCATGACAATGGGGATTCGAAGGTGTCATTTCAAACGGGTAAAATACCTACTGGTATGCCTACATATTACAAGGAACCACCATGTCCCTCAGAACCAGGGGCAGCTTTTGCTTCCATCTTGATAGTGTCTCCATCTATAACATTTTACCTTTTCCCTACAGGAGTGAATGGCAGCCATTCACTTGTTTAGGAAAAAGGTGTGTGTTCTTTGTTATTGCTGCAGTGGGGTCAAAATCTGAACTTGGTGAACCCAGGTTTTGTTTTTAGGTTTTTTCCCTCAGAGAGAAACTGCCTTTGGCTCTCTCCAAATACAGTTGCTTATTGCAGTCCATTTACTTTGCCCCTAATGAGCACCATTGAGAACTGACTGAGCCACTATCTGTATAGTCCTTTCCTGATTCTGTTTCACGATCATGCTACAGTGTGACAGAATTAGGGAGTGGCTGAGACAGGCAGACAAGCCCTAGGTCCCTCCGGCATTCTCTGTATGTGTCTTCGGGTTTGTCTATAAAATGAGGCAACTGAGTCTCTGCTTCCTAGAGTCTGAGCAGTAGCACATGGCATGTGGTCTTGCCTTCCTATCTCCTTCTTGTAGAATTTGTACGGATGATGTCTCGTTGAGAGAACCTATTAGCAGTCCAAGACAGAAGTGCCTTATGAAGAGGAGGGACTTCCAAGCCATCACATACTGCCGCTTGCAGTGAATCGGACAACTGAGATCAAGGGCAGCATGCAAGCACTTCCCACACATCTTGCACAGCCTACCTGGAGACAAACAGCTGCTCCTGAAGTCAAGGGACCCACACCAGCTTCATAACCATCAATGATATCATGGACCAGATCCCAGGTTGATATCTGGTGTACTACAGTAGATATGGCTGGGAACATTTATCCCAAGATTTCTGTGACTCTGCCTATCATCAGACTATGCCTTTGTTTGCTCTAACACTGACCCCTCACTTCAACCAGAACTTAATGAGGAAGCAAATCTCATAAACTGTTCTGAATGCACTCGTGTGAAACATTCCAAATGCTTCTCTGTCCTTTTCTTGCTCTAAATGGTGTTCGTGTCTAAGAAACCATACTTTATTCCCCACTGTGACTTGAATAATGCTTCCTGTCTCTGGAATGTCATTGTAAATGATGTCATAATTTGCTGTTTTTCCTACATGCAGAGGAATAGGAGAAAATGCAATGCCTAGTAGTGGCAGGGAGCTAGTTGTAGTTCAAAGGAGAACATGTTTGGTAGCTGATGACTGCTGTTAAGCTGACCACAGTGACCAAGTGGGATTCTGTGAACATTTTTCAGGAGTGCCAGACATTGCAGCTGTGATCCAGAAGTTCCCCTGCAATAGTATATCTGGGAATCTTGAAGGCTATCTGTTTTCTCTTTGTCCTATGCTACGGTTTTGCTGGGCCATACAGATGGTCATGCTGTTTTATGAAATGTCTTTCAAAGAGTTAAAATTTATTTAGAAATTGTACAGACTGCCTCACCAGAGACCTGCTTAAGGTGGCTAACCAAATAAAAACAACTGAACAATGAAATCATAAAAACAAAATGAAATATAAATCCACCAACTAAGCAATAAACACTAGTGCATAAAGACAGTGTAAAGTGCATTAAAAATATGAAAACACAGCATAAAAAACAGCAGTTAGAACAATTTCAGCACGAATAGTAGTTGTAAAATAATACTCTAGTGGGACATGCAGGCAATAAAACAAACAAAAGGATGGGATAACCTCCAGTTAAAAGCCTGGGTAAAAATAACTGTTCTGGCCTGCTACCTAAATGACAACCAAGTTGACATCTGGTGGGTCTTAAGGATCTTTATGCACTTCAGGGGCCACCACTGAAAAAGCCCTGGCTCTGCTTTTACCTGCCCCATCCTTGTGGGCAAGGGCACAGAGAGTAGGGCTTTGGATGGGGATCTCAGTGGGCAGGCTGGGCAGTAGGAAGTTATCTAGGAGCTATCTTGGAGCCAAGCCCAGGGTCTCCTCATGGCACCTACAGGCACTTCTCCAGGTACCCAGTATGTGCTTCAGGGAAGTAGGCAGGGCCATTATGAAAGCAGAACCAATGACTGGCTGCCTTCATTCCAATGAAGGGAATTTTCACTTGGATCCTCCACTTGGATCCTCCACACCACTCACTGGAGAAGGATCCAGGATCCTGTAAGCAGAACTCATGGATCAGCTGTGAAGTGGTGGGGGCTACGAAATAGTAGAGTACCCCTTTCCCCCTTGCTGTTCTCTCACCCCTTTCTCCCATTGGTCATCTTCTTCTTTGTGTGTGTGTTATCCCCTGCATGTACTTGTATTCCCCATCAGTGTGCCTGGCTCCACCACCCACGGTAGCCGCTTTGTAGTGGCACCTGCCACCCTGACTCAAAATTCTAAAGGTGCTCACAGGCACAAAAAGGTTGGAGACCACTGCTCAAGCCAGTTCGAATTGTGCCCAGAAGCAAATGAGAAGCTAGTCTTGATCTTTTTGGCACAGTGGTGACACAATCCCGCTACCTACCCCCTTATAACCTGTCCGCTGCATTATGGACATTGAATTTTCCAGACAGTTTTCAGAGCCAGCCACAAGTAAACCACATTTCAGTAATCTGATTCAATCTGGATGTGATTGCTATCTTGCAGGCGGGGCCTAGAATTCTCCCAGAATTACAACTGATTTCCGGACTATATTGATCAGTTCCCCTGGCGGAAAGGGTAGCTTTAGAATAGATGGACTG